GAGAATACAACTCATTGTTCTATTCTCCCCCCCATATGCACGATATTTTTTTGGCCCACACACACCCAGTTTCCCCCACACGGGGCGGTTGCTGGCTGGGGAATTCTCGGAGTTGAAATCCACACATCTTAAAGTTGCCGAGGTTGAGAAACACTGTATTAATGGATGGTTGAATGGACTCCTTCTATGTAATTCCTTTCCAGCTTTCCACTGGATAGAAAAGTATCAGAATCATGCACCAAAATAAGAGCAACCTGGATTGTGTGTTATAACACTACTTGAATATGGTTAGATTTTGAAGCAACGGGTTCTGAATATTTACTTCCTAGATGAACATGTGTGTCTCTGTGTGCATTTTTCTTTCTTTTAGTTTGTGTAGTTTTTCGTTCTTTTAAGCACCCTATATCTCGATATACATTTAAATAAACTTAAGGACAAAACACCCTGAGATACGTACACAGTTACACACACCCAGAGAGACGGGTGATATCTGGGGGCCGTAGCGTTGCCAAAGAATGCAATACCTGCTTTGTCCTTTTGATGGCAGCAGCTCCATTTATCTCCTCGGAAAACCCCCGGATGATAGGAGCAGAGCATCCCGGCGTTGTTCCCGCAGACCTTCCGTAAGGCTGACAGCCACTGGCTGAACTCATTCACACACTGTAAACCGAGGCAAGACAGAAAGACGTGAATGCCATGGATTCTTCTGACTGGATGTAGCCAGGGTCTTTCACGTATTCTCCCCTTCTTCCGCCCTACGATCACTTCTAAGGAAACAGATGCTACAAGGCTCAGGCTGTGGTTTTGGCAACCCCTCAAAACTGGTTTGACCAATGGAAAACTGCAGGACAGTAGAAAGCAGACTGGACCCAAAGGTCAGGATGCCAATGCCCGATTGCTTTCAATTCCCTTAAAAGATATGCTTGATCGTCAACCTAATTTATTGTGGCATTAGCACTAGTGAGAATAGAAACATAACAGGATGCCTGAACCGTAGGTGGCGCCAACCATGCATATTAAAGTTAACCAATGTTAAAATGCAAATGTAGAATGGAACTATAACCTGGTTCGCACACTTGCTAAGCCAGGATTCAGGGCGTTGTGTGAACCCAAACACTGTGGCTTGCAAATCGTACTTTGTGGTTTAGGGCACTGCTAGAGTCAAATGTATTCAATAAATCCAAGTTAAAGAAACTATAGGATAGCCCAACATGTCAGTCCAAAGCCATCCATCTGGTAAGGGAGATGCAAATAAATTCTGTTCAACAGCTGAAGAGGCAGAAAAATTTCTGTCTTCACTAGTTTAAGTAGTACAGAAATGAGCATGGCTAGGTTTAGCATGTGTGAACCCAGCCCTAGTTACACCATGGCTTAGAGGAAGGGCAAGCCCAGCTAATGAATTACAGTAAGGAGAAACCTTGTTTTCCGAATTCACTTGATATAATGGTTTCATGTTCTAATTAAATGTCAATTCCTAGCATAGGTTTGTATCAGCTGCAAAACTGAGTTAATTGACCCAGTATTCAAAGAAGATTAAATTTAGCTAGAAACAGACCTGTTCTTGAAGAAGGAGCTAAATTAGTTTAATTTAATAAACTCCCTTTGTAGTATGTTAACTAGTTACTGGAGGGCTACCTGCCCCTGCCGTCAGTCATGATAGAGACAAAGTCCTAGAGAGGCACCACAAAAATGGAGCTCTTCTTGGCACTCTGTCGCTGCAGTCACTTTGGTTTTCATCCCCTGCAGTCCAACCTTTCCATGGTGGTGTTCATCCTGAATGAAACACCATCAATGTTTATTGTTTTTCACCCCTCCAGTGGGGAAAAAATTAAGACATCAGTTAGCAGTGGGGGAAGCAACAGCCTGCTTCGTGGACTGATGGCCACCAGAGGACTGACTGACTCATCCTAGATGGTGTACTATTGGCTCACAAGGTGAAATTCACTGACTGGGTGAGGAGACGCCTGGTCATCCTTACAATGCAAGTAAAGCCTATGCATTTGTTAAATTGTCATAAAAAGTAAAGTATCTTTCGACTTAAGCTCATCTCCTGGGGGGTTCATTGACACATCCAAGTACTTTTCTTGATAGGAGAATGGAATTAATTTCCTGTTGTCTTCCTCTGGGACATTTTTTGACTACAGCTCTGAGATTCCCTGGTGGTTTCCCCTCCAGGTATTAACCAGACCTGACCCTACTTAGCTTCCAAACCCAGACAAAGTTGGCCAGTGCTATACCTATTGGAACAAAGTACAGTAGGAATGCATTTTTGTTTCTCCTCAAAACATTTTGATTCCCTCACATTTTATTTGAAAGTATATCTGAGTTTTGCAGATCTGAGAAGCTGCTGGATTCTACCAATACAACTTGTGTCATGTGGTCACCCAGATGAATTCTTGCTTCTCCCTCCCCATCCAAGCAAAATGTGACTTGTCCTGTCCCCACCTTGCACTGCAGGTAAGCTGTGTCTTCTTGCCCAGCATCATTAGTGTAGATGATCTGCATAACATGGGAGATGCCAAAACTCTTCTCTTCCACCTTCTCGGCTGCCCGGATGCTAGTCAGTGGCACAAAGGAGCTTTTCTGAAAGGTAATCCCATAAATATATACAGAGAAAGAGAAACTTTGAATCAAATGGAAACAAACTCAGTCCCACATTGTGAATCCAACCAGCAGCCTTTCCCTAGTAGCAACTAGTATTCTGAAGTAGTCTGTCTCTAACCCTGGAGATTCCATGCCACCACAATAGATAATAGCCAGAAATAGAGATTTCTTCCTCCATGAATTTGACAAATCCTCTTTTAAAGCTTCTTTCCAATGTAAAACACTTAAAGCTACCCCAAAATCATTGCCACCGAAAACATTAAGTGTGGCTCTTGATCATCAAAAAATGTTCTTCCCACTGTATTAGAAACTTGTACTATCTAGCTGTCATATTCCATTGCTAACAATTAATTAAATTCTGAGCTTGTTTGAATGTTATCCTTTTACAGCACAATTCTACGGATGTCTGTACTTCTAAGCAAACAAAACTGCAGTATTAAAAGTATCCTACTAGGATCACAGTTCTAGAGATATTTTCTTTGGATAAGTTCCACTAAACAGTCAGATTTATTGTATTAACCAAAACGGCATTGCCCTTAATTGGCTTTTAAAAAATCCCATATTTACTTCAGCGAATCATACCTCCTGGAAAAAATGAGATAAACAGCACATATACAATTTAGCCTAGTGAATTTTTTGCTTTAATTTTCTTGACAGATCTCTCTGGATCTTGGATTTCACATTCCAAACTGCAGGTAAGCAATAATACAATTAAATGCCCCTTCATATAATAACATTTTATGTACATAGAAAGTTAGCCTGCTTGGGGGGAACGTATTAAGCAAGTAGTCCTGACATGCTAATATTCTTTTATATAACTGGAAAGCTTTTGTATATATCTATTTAAATTAATTTATTTCCTTTGCTTCAGGAGCTCCATCCAGTATACATAGTACAGACCCTCTAACGTTAGGGAGTATGTTGGGCTAAAGATAGCAGCTGGTCCAAAACCACACCGTGAGTTTTATAGCTGAGTGGAGACCTGAATTGAATTCAGTTCAATTCAGTTCACGTCTTCACACTTCTAGTCCAACACTTTATACCACATTGCTTCAAGGCCTGTGAGTTTTGATTGATTATGTGCCATCAAGTCATTTTTGATTCCTAGTGACCACATAGATAGATCTTCTCCATGATGGTCTATCCCTAACCTGGTCTTTCAATGGTGCCCCCGTCACCACTGTAACTGACTCCATTCCCCTTGCTGCTGGTCGTCCTCTTCTTCTTTCTCCTTCCACTTTTCCCAGCGTTAGAGCCTTTTCCCGAGAGCTGGGTCTTCGCATAATGTGTCTGAAGTAGGATAATTTGAGCCTGGTCATTTGGGACATGCCAAATGTTGGATTGCTGCTTCAGGGGTAGAAACCTAGTTTCTATGATGACTGGCTAGCTTTCATGGATACTCCTTCCTTGGACTCTCCAACTTATAGAGGGCCTCAAAAGAAGTGATTTTCAGCAAGGAGCACGGCTTCCATGTCATACCAGCCTCTCTGCTGGCCAATCCCTGTTCTTTACGTACCTTGGAGTTGGGTGTCTTGGCACAGGTGAGAGCCTCGTGGGTTAATGAGAAATAGAGCTTCTTGAAGGAGAACGAGAGGAGAGGCCCCTTGCTTCTTGCCTTGTGGATGAACAGGTACCCTTCTTTTACAACCTGCGGTTGCAGGGAGATGGGCTTCTGCAGGTCTAATTCTGTAAGGACCATTCAACATCCACAGTAGTGAACTCAATATATACTGTATGTATGTGTTTTGAATGAATAGGAAATAATAACAACAACAAAAACAATAATAATAATACAAGTTGGCAGAAAACTATGACATATAATGTGCTGCCCTCACTGCCAATCCCAGTCCTACCTATATAGCCTCTGTTCTGGTTTGCCACTAAATGGGAATGTCCCTGCAAGGTGAAGCCATGTGGCTTGCTGCCCTCCCCCTTTCTGGATGACACCAAGGGTGGGAAACCAGGGGCAACCACAGGAATTTGTTGCTTTTGTCACCAGCATTGCTTTTGTCCTTGGGATGCAAGCTCTGCCCTTTTTTATATGCATGTGACATCACAACACACGTACAAAAGGGGCAGGGCTTGCATTGCAATGTTACAATGCCACTTTCATCATTCTGCGCCTCCGTGCTTCCCTCACTCTACTCCATAAATGCTGTTGAAACCATCCATCAATCATTGAATGATTGGATAGGTAGCCAGACCCATGGCGTCCCCTCACCTGCACTAGCTGGATCAACAAAGGGGGGCTGCAGATTTAGACATCTGTCAAAATGTACTACCTGCTGTTCATCGGGCATTTGAGAAAGCAAAGCCAGGGACCAATAGAAGAGAATATGTGTAGCTCAGGGTTGAACTGTGGCGTCCTTGGGGTTCTCTGA